CCCCCATCTTCTTCTAATTTGAAATAAGCTCTCCGGACGCTAATTCGAAGATTTACGGTATTTTATTTTCTCCCCATATCATCAGGCGCATAAGGTGAATAAGCATTTAGGCGCATAAGGTGATTTCTCCTCATATACCTGTATGTAAAAAAAACGTGAGAGGTTACTTTTATGGGGAACTGATAAGGCTCTTATGAGGAATTATCTTTCTTTCATTTTGGCCTGTATTACTTGAAATAGATGCCGATACAGTCTAAGGAAAAGCATGTTTAACCTGTTTTTACAAAATGCAAGCCATCATTACATTTGAGACTAAAAACATGTAGCTTAAACAATGTTATTTATTCCGTTTTCGTAGCTTATGTTTATGGCATGTTTTACTGTGAATCCCAAACAAAGTAGGCAGGCTTAATTTTGTTCAATGTACGCGTTGGAAGAAAATCATGCCCGTTCTTAAGCGTGGGCCTCGAAGCTAGCCACGGATCGTCTCCAAGAAATCTAATTACTTCCACAGTATCGCGAGTTACAAACAGTAATCTTCTTTAACCTCTATACCTAAAAGGGGCAACGATTTTAGACATTTATCTCAACTTCTCTTTTACAGCAACTGCCGAAGGCTCCCTTCCAACCATCAATCCTTCTATCCATTCTAGTAAGTCTGTATTACATCTGTGACTAAAGCTTTCTGGGATGATTTTGAATTGTTTTGGTTCTTTGGTACTCAGAAGAAAATTAATCTTACTCATCAAGACGATATAGTTGGTGTGCTATCAAGACCGTGCCCCTTATTTAACTATCTTCTTCTTATTGCAAAACTTTATTTATGGGATTGTAGGGTGGTGTAAACAGCTAGATTATACTTTCTATTAATATGTACAAGTATTTGTTCAAGCCCTTATTTTGTTGTCTAAATTCTTAAATAAACATATAGAAATCTGGTCTCGATAGTTCGAAGGCTGGATAACGCTATCCATCGGATAAATCACTATCCAGTGGATAATTGTTAACAAAACAAACCACGCAATCCGCTGAATAGTGATTTATCCGCTGGATAGCGATTTATCCGCTGGATAGCGTTATCCACCCTTCAAACAACCCTGGCCTGGAGGAGATTATCTGTTATGTTCATAAAAGGTACGGCGGGTGAAAACGGTCTACGTTAACATGGTTGGGTGCAGTCCTTGGCCTGTAGCCGTTTGTGACGGCAATTAACCGCTGAGACCATTTTTTCCCTTTTTTTAATTATTTATTTTGTTTGTTTGTTTGTTTGTTTGTTTGCTTTTTTTTCAGAAATTATCCCTTGTTCAGTTATAAACTCACTGCCTTCTATGCATTCTAGGTCATACGATTCCTAACCTCATGGTAAAACTAGTACCCTAGTTTTCTTAGACTGTTTTCAAATTTCGTGCCACATTTATCCCCTTGAATTTGACGGTAGGCGTGCACCACGTGTTTAGAGGGCATTGTAAGAAGTTCGTCTGCGTAATCGTAAGAGTGGGTCAAATTAAAGAAATAGGAAGCGTAGGTAAGAGAGTCTTCTATACGGGGAATGAGGAAGGAGAGGGAGTTATAACGGGGATGTTTTTCTTTAATTATGATCGTTTGGTCTTGTATAGCAAACAAGTAGCTCCGTAACTGATTTACGTTGTTTTACATAGGTATCTTATCGATAGTTAAGGACGTTACCTACTTTTGTTAGTACACACAGGTTCTTTGCATCACGCAAATCATGGTTTACACGTGACGCGCGCGCTGACATTCACATTGCCATAATCACCTACGCTACCGATACGCAAAAGAAAACAAAATTTTCCTGCTGTGACCAAATCAAGTTTAACGAAGCCATACTAATACCAGGAACACCAGAATAACGACATATCGCTAACCACTAACTGTTAACGGCTTCCGGCTTAAAAACTAGCTGTTATCAATAGAAAATTACACTTAACTCCAACTGTTAACATGTTCCTGCAGATGGCGTAGTGCGCGCGCAAAACAAATACGTTAGACACAAATGTCTGACTTACTGAGGAGATGTCAGGATAAAATGTAACTGGCACCGCAAAGTTTTCAGAAGAGATGAAAACGGCCCATTTCACTTTTGAAAACAACTGGTTACCCCTACAGTTCATATTATAAAATGAAAGTGGTAGGCCTATTCAACACGCGACTAATTTCTGGTTGCGAGGAAAAGCTATTTAACATGTATTTTGCTAAACTAGAGGGGAGCTGTTAAAGACGCTGAAAGTGCTGTTACGACGCTTTTGTTTTTATAAACATGCCAGACGTGGCTTTTATGTTACTATTTACCATGCAACTAATTTAAGGATCTTTAAAAATGTGTTTGCCCTTTTGTCTGTAAAGGCGAGTGAGGAAATCAGCGAAGAAAAATATTTTCAATGTCATTAAAAATGTGTCTATGATTCAACGTGGTGTAAGATAGCATAGGTGGATTCCACTTGTTTATCTCACGATGGAGTCACTTTGAGATGTCGATCGCGACGTTTCGAGTGCCATACTGCTAGTCTTCATCAGGCTATAAGGTCGATTGTTGTGTGTCGCTATTTGTAACACCTTGGTTCGCTGCTATCGGTGCATTTCGATCCTCATTACTATTCCGACTTTGTGACGCTGTTCCTTCATAGGTCCACATTGTAACTGACCGGCTGTTGTGCTTTTTGATTGAAGGTATCCATGCTTCAGGAATTTCGATTCCACTATCTCTATTGATGTTATTTGGATTAAGTCCTATATTTATAGCTCCCTTGACTTGTCGTGTGTACCAGTGAGGGTCACGATCAATAAACTTTGAATTTGTCCCAAATGGGTAAATGCCCTTTCTCCCCAGTGTGCACTGAAATTGCGGGCGTTTGTGTTCGAGCAAGCCGTATATCTCTGTCATGTTGTTTTATCTTCGCTCGCATAGCTCTCCTTGCTTCTCTGATCTACACTTTGCCGCATACGCAAGGAATCTTATAAACAACACCGTCTTGTTTTGCTGATTCAAGGGTGTCTTTAGGTTGCACTAAGTAGGACCTAAGGGTTGTATCAGATTTCAAGAGTGCGTACGCTTTGTTGTTGTATGCAGTGGCGAAGAATCTCTGATACACCTTTGATACAGGGTAAAACTGCAGTTGGTCTTGTTGTTTTCGTGAGCTTCTGTACAAACGAGGAAGGTTACCCATTAGAAACAAGTATTGATGACAAGTGTTTCTGTTCTTCAGGAGCTTCATCAAGAGATGTTTAGGACGATTATAAAGGAACTTCAGAATACCACGCTTCACTTACTGAGGATGGTGTGAATCGTAGCCTAGGTATTGATTCCATCTTGAGACAAACGAGTGAAATTCATCTGTACTAATAATTTTTCCTTCGTTTTCAGAAAAATGCTGGCCTCAGCAGTTTTGTTCCAGATTCAAGGCTAATTATCTCAGGAAGATGCGTGGCTACTCCCACTTTTCTTTGTGGATTTCAATAGCCCTAGCTAAGATCTCCTTTTGCTGTATGGTCTTAATCTGGCGAAAAGACTTGTGTATTTAGTAGGCACCATCGATATGTTTTCCGTGACAATTTTAGTGCCAGAGGCTGAGCGGCCTAACACGTAGTGCGGTTGACTCCGGATCAAGTATTAAGTACAATAATGGACAAACGTCCTTGCGACATTGATGGCATGACTTGAGTTGAACGAGACATTTAAGACACTAGTTCGTATCCAAGAGCAATCATTGAGTCAAACGATCCTTTATTATTTTCATTATATAAAAAAGAGAGTTACATTAACTCTGTGACAAGTATGTCGATGAATACTGTTTCCTTAGTGCCCTAACATATGCCGTTTAAACTATTGCCTTTAATTTCCCCGACACGGGTAATCTCAATACAGCCGATTTTGTATCTGTCTGTTAAAATTTATCCAAACAAATGAACACAACTTTTGTTGTCAATTAGCGAGGAACTAAGAAATGTACTATGCAATTCTTTCTAGAAAGCAAATGTTAATTCCTATACCACACTTTAACATCATATTAAACGATACTCCTAATTAGAAACTCTTCTTCAAACTTTGATCATATAAACCGACCGACTAATGAAAACTGTTAAAGTCAAGCTAAAATCACGGTTATGTGGCGCTGATGTCACTAGCACCTCATTTACTTCGATCTCTTCTCGCGGTTGTTACATTACATGATGGACTGCAGACATCGTTCATCACGACAAACAATCAGCCACACCATATTTTTCAATATCGCCAGATTAACTGTCTTTATGTAGCAGCAAATTTCTAACTAAAACTAATCATGTTTTCGATGCTTATCACTTGTATTTAATATCTTGAGGTGCTATCATTTGAGTGTTTTGAAAGGACTGGTTTAAATTATTATAAATGAATCAATGGTAAAAATCACATTTCAGAGCCGGAAGTTAGTTAAAATGCCGCGGTCTATTTCATCTTCTTTCAAGTACTCTCGTAGAAGACTTCCACCTCGTCTGGTTGAAAGTTATAACTACCCGCCAGGAATGCTTTAGTGAATGAGGTATGGTAGCTGTGACCAGCTGGTGGACTGTAGCCATGTCCAAGATTTGAGTATGAATTTGTGTTGGACGAGGCGTATGTGGCAATGTGAATGTCGTGTCCACCTCCAAATGAAGGTCCATAGTTATAGTAACAGTATGTAGCACGTTGGTAAGAACTATGTGTTCCTGGTGGCTTGAATGTCACTGGTCCCCAGCCTGGTTTGTTTACCAGCGAGAAAATGAAAGCTGTCGAACTGTACAACCACTTATTACTGGAACCTAATTGGTAAAAAAAGAAAAAAAAAAGATGTAAGAAAAACAGGAATGAATGACAAATCTATTTGTACCATTTATTTCTCTCCTGTGTCAGTCAATCAGAACGAGTCAGTGTGTAAACATTGTCATCTAGATAAAAAGCAAAGAAGATTTATGGCGGGGGGGGGGATTCCGGGGGGGCTGGTCCGTGAAGCGCAGAAAACGCCACCGCTAACTTAAACCGTTTAAAAGTTTGTCAACATTTAACTATAGACTGCCAAAATGCACAGCTGCAAATGAATCTGACAAAAACCTATCTATTGCCTCTCTCATAACCATTCCTCAATTCTGAAATTTAATCATTATTGAAATTTAAAAAGTAACATTTAGTTTGTTCTAAGCCATTTTGTGTCTTTTAGAAATTAAACGTGAACGTATTTATCCTGAATAGATTTCTGAATTTTTTTTTGTTTAGACCATCAGTTGAGAAATGGTTGCAGGTCGAGTTATAATATAATTGTGCTTTAAAAGAAAAAAAAAGAAGGAAATCATCGGAGGACTAATATCACTTACTCCATGAAGCGCTGGTATATCCACCAAAGATGTACTGTCCAACACGAATAATAGTAACAGATGGACCTCTATTGTCGCAAAGTGAATGGAAGGTGTTTGCAGACCAGCCGTCCAGCGACGCACGCCAACAGCGATTCCAGTGAGAAGATTTGCTTTGCATAACAGGTTTTAACCAGTTACTTAAAGTGCTCAAGTAATTATTATCATTCCCCAGTATGGCTGATTTTCTTAAGCCTAATGAGAGAAAATACAATTAAAAGTTACAATCGACCCAAGAGAATTTGAGATTGGATTGAATCTAGGTTAGGTCTGACTGTATATAGAGGGAAAAGCATTAAAAAAATCCACATCTGGTTGTTTAAAGGAAAAATATTCCTCCTGCACTAATTTCCATTGCAAGCTAGCCTTCTTCAACTTTAGCTCTAGTATGTCTTACAGTTAACAGTCCTAATCAAGCGTTTCATTTAAAACCGTGCCCGAAAGAAAATTTACTAAATTAATGCTGCAAAAGCACAAAAAATGTTACCTGCATATATATAATAGCAGTCAAATCCGTCTCCTACGTATCCATGGTTGCAAGTGCACGTGTACGATCCGCGTTCATTGGTACAAGTGGCAAGTCGATGGCAGTGATTTATGTTCCTGCCGCATTCATTCAAATCTGATGAATAAAAAAAGACAATTAACCCTGGAATTACATCTCTGAACAAACATATTCATACCCTCATCTTCCTACAACTAAAAATCTGTCTACATGCCCAAATGCGTGTTTTCCGACAATACGAAATAATTCACAGAAACAACCATTTCTTTGAGGGATAACAAAACATGAAATAACCTAAAGTTGATAACTGCGCATTTAAAAATATGACTCTACCACTGGGATAGCCCCATTCCCGATTTCAAGAGAATAAGGCTGATGAAAGTAGTTACAAAAATCGGCCACACAACGCAATAAGCTTAAGATTTTCCTTTTCTTAAAGTAACAGATACTTTAAAATTGGTTTTCGAAATAGGGAACATTTCCGGTGATTCTAACAGGCTCTAATGTAAATGAATCTACTACTATAGAATATTAACTCAATTGCTGCAATCTGATTAGATGAGCTATCAGCCTTTAGATAAATATAAAAACAATAACAAATACTTTTGCATTCCATGATTGGTTCTCAACTATATGATCCATTGGAGGACAGACGCACAGATGACGTCATTGTTAAAAACATTTTACGTCTGTCTTTTAAAATGGCGGAAAGTTTGAGAATTTAAATAATGATTACCGCAATGCAACTTATCTTTGCTCTTGTCGTCATTACTTTAGTAGCTCGTGCTGCACGCAACTTCAGCTATTGAGGTATAAAAGTAACAAGTTTTGGAGTGCGCTTCTAACAGCGCATTCTATAATCATTAGAACGGAACCTTCAAACTTTCAAATGGCTTTTAATCATGTTAAACAGTGATATTAACAGAACCTACCTTTTTTACAAGTATACTGATGACAATCGCTACACTTCACGTCATTCCATTCATAGCTATATTCCACACCAAGTGCGTGCACGCAATCTTCTTCTCTGAAGTTGTTTGGTTGATTCTTGGCCCAAGCTGTAAAGTTTCCAGGGCCGCGATCTGTCCAAATGAAGTCACCCTCTGTTGATCTGTCATTGAAGCCAAGCCAAGATTTTTACCCATTGAGTCGATTCTGTATAAATACATTTTCTTCATTGTTGTTAACATCAACCAGGACTGAACTTTCTAGACGGCATTTTGACAATGCTGTGGTCCAGTTTGCGCATTTCGGACTCGTTAAGTAACAGTAGCCGTTGAAATAGCTCCACTCCGGATCACAGACATCTAGAAAAATATCAACTATTTATTTTCATATATATTTTTTTATTAACCCATGAAAGGCGGATAAAGAATAAAAGGGTAAATTTCCCCACCTCCACCTTTGTCTCCACCATATTTTCTCTGAGGGATCCCTGTCAGGTTATTTCACACGCCCCTTTACTTTCAAATTCCCAGGAGGGTTTAGAACTAGCCACACGATCCTGTAACGAGAATTTTGCTCACGTGCACAGCCGAAGCGGCTTTACATGGGTAATTACATGGTATTTGGCTCTAAACTAAAGAATCAACGCACATAATCTGCGGGAGAACATGCAGTCTGCGATATCTTAACATAACTAAAGTGAGATAACCCTGCAAATGAAGCCAGTAAAGGAGATTACGTCTACCCCTTAGTCCGCACTCAAGTCTATGCAATGCCGTATGCTTATTGTAAATTCAGTCCATTCAGGAAGTCTGTCACAGTGACATGATCTATGAGTTCTTTCCAGGCCTTTCCAACTTCAATGTCAGATATCTATATTCGATGAAAAGTCCATTATCTACCTGTAAAGACCGCATAGCTCACTGACACTGGGTCATATCGTGTTTCGTATAATTCCTTGACACAGGCTCTAAATCCAGTTGCATTCATGTTCTGCCGAGCAAACACACATCCATGTAAAGTTAACTTGGGTAGTAAAAGAGAGAGCGTGTATATTTTTCAAAGTGAAAAGTTACATGAAATTTTGGTCTAAGACATGGAAGTAGAATTCTTATTTTTATCCTTAAAAACTCATTTCAGCGTCATCCTTCCGATGAGCTCCCTTTTTTTAAGCGCTGCCCTACCAATAAGTGTATTGTGAAAGTGATATTCCAGACATTGACATTGATAGTTTCCATTAGGCGAGCTTATTAAAGAGTGCATATCAAGTATGTATAGTTTGCTTCTTTTTCTTCTGAACGTACTACTGAACATTATGACAAGCGGGTGTTGCTGTAGTTGCCAATTAACCTGTTATATCATATTCGAATGTGTATGCCCAGCCCCACGACTCCCCACCCTCACCCCCAAAAAAGAAAAAGAAACGCTGCAGGTCCTATAATTACTCTCTCTTAACCCTCTTCACAGCAGTTTTTTCCACAATCTAATTCCTCCCTAATATTTCTACATGTCCACTCTCTCCTCACGTCATTTGACATTCCCATAGCAACTGGGTTTGGAAATTTGAGTCACGGCAAATTGTGAACTTTTTACAGTTATTTGTCCTTTTTTTAATTTCCTTACCTTAGAGCAACGTACATGACAGATTTGTAGTACCCACTTATAGTTAACTATCATTTTCGGATAGTTCTTCATCAATTCACCTTATACGCTTGACTTTCTGAGGAAATATTAAAATGCAATATGTCGCTTCCAAGATGGCGGACTTAATGACTCCATGTGAGGTAATATGACGTCATCACTAACGTAAAATATGTCATCTTTAGAGAAGGCCATCTATTGAACGCGAAATAACTAACTAGTGTGTTATAACAATCGACAAGCATTTGTAACGGATCCGGTTATAATCTGCAATCTGACAAAACAGTGTTAAACCTTGGAACAACGTTTACCTCGATCCATGTTGTTATGCCGTTATGAACTGGTGCCAAGTTTCCACTTGCTGTTGTGCTGTGATTGGCTGATATGAGAACCGATGGTGTTACGTTATAACTTCGTATAAAGTGGACAAACTGTAGAAAGGAGCAAAGAACTAAACATTTAAACTCGCTATACATTGTAAAAGATCCTATATAATTTTCGTTCCTCTCGATGGACATTCCTTTAAAGGTTTGAATTTGTCCAATGGGGGCTCAGTTGTAACGTTTTCATCACTAAGGTATGTTTTCTTTTATAACTAGACTTTTGGTTAGTTAGTCAATTAGTAGATTAGATAGTTTAGCTAGTTAGTTAGTCAGCCACTTAGTTAAGTTAGTCAGTTTTTATTTAAAGGTCTTAATGATTCCTAGTTTTACTTTCATTTTTACAGCTTAGCTATTTTATTTGTTAGTAATTTTTTATCACTGATGTAAATTTTTAATGTAAATTTTATTT